CGGCAGACATGAAGCTGTAGAGACGAAGTCGTGAAGAGACCCGCACAGAAGGATTGCAAGACGATGGCGAGTGATGAGTGGTTCAGTGTGCACAGCTGCACCACCATCAGCAGCAGCAGCAGCGGCGTCGGCCGCAATGCGCCCGCAACAACAACACAATTCGGTGGTCGCACCTCATGTCACCATCATCCTTGTGCCGGAGCAGCGTCTCCCTTCCTCTCTTCAGCTTCCAGGTGTACCCTGTGGCCCAAACACGCACGAGGAACAGAGATTAGGACCACACATCGTAGCACAAGATCAAACGATCACAAGCAAAGAACAGACAGCAGACGCATGGAAGAATGACCACGTCGACGACACATATGTACACACGCTTACACATACAGCGTGCGCATACTTTTGAAAGCATTCGCTCTGTCCCGCCACGAGCAGCATCTTGCCAATGTTACCAACATTCTGCTCCATCGACTCAATCAAGGGCATCCAGTGGATGGCAACCTGTTCGTTAACGGTGGCGAGATGGGTGTTGCAGTGAGCGAGGGAACGTGCGCAGGAGTGATGAGCCGTCATCACACGGTGGCTGAGCGTAATGAGAAACACACACACACACACACACACACACACACACACACACACACACGTCGCTCACTGTCATGCTGCGACGTGGGCATGCCATCATCATCCCCAACACTCATGTCCAGCGAGATGATACCACGCAAGCGGGCTGCTGTGGGGTGTGTGCGTGAAAACCACGTGTGCATGGGGCAGGTGATGAGCACCTATAGCGTGTATGCCATGTGAACTGACTTGATTGCAAGCTGGGGGATGAATGATGTGTGACCACGAGAGAAGACTGACCGATGTCAGCGCAAATGCTGTGATTGCTCGCTCCGGTACCGCTCTGGAGGTGCGTCCCACTCAAAGGTGGCCTTCTGTATTGCTGGTGCCTTGGTCTCCGCCACTCTCACTTGCGGATTCCTGTCTGTTTGTTGTTTGCGTGGGAGGAAGAGACGATGCATCCGTGAGAACACACGTGCCAACAGCAGCAGCACCAGCAGCAGCAAGACAGCAGCAGTGACAGCAGGGACTGTGGTTTGGAAATCGGATCACCACCGTGCACTGATACACACACACACACACACACACACGCACAACACACACAGAGCGGAGGTGTGATTGCACCCACCTCGCAGGTGGCCGTGAATGACACTGCTTGTCGCTTGCCTTGTGGTATGCGTATATCAGCGGCAAGTGTTGCCAGTGCACTCTCAAGAGCGTCGTTAGGTTTCTGCAGGCCACTGCCATATCCAACCACAAGAGAACAGCACATGCTCACGTTAGCCAAGCACAACAACGACGACCTGACGACGACGAAACCACCACTTTCAGCAGACCCATCCTTGTGCCACAAGATGAAGAAGGAAAGAAGGGAATCCACACCCACAGCCACAACAAGACAGCAACAGCAACAACCGACAGCACTGCCACCACAAACAGGACACCGCGTCCCACGTTCACGTACTTGGTTGCGTGACGCATGGAGCGAACGAATAGTGCCCAAGAAGAAGAAGAACAAGAACAAGAACAAGAACAAGAAGCAGAAGTCGAGGAAGGGACAGCGGGCATGGTGTGTGTTGGCTAACCTGAGGATCGTTGACGTGACGCCTGTTTTGTGTGCATGTGTGTGTGTGTGTGTGTGTGTGTGTGTGTGTGTGTGTGTGTGTGTGTCAGAGACCTTTCTTCCACATTGGTCTGGTTGGCTGTTGGTGACTGGGTAGCGATCACCAACAATCCCCTCTTCCCCTCTCCCACATCTCTCTTCTCCCCCATGCTGCTGTTGCGGTGACTGCCACATCACCCCCTCCTTCCTTCCTTGCCTTACCTTCCCTCGTTGTGTGCACTGCACCAAAGAGAACAAGAAGAAGAAGAAGAAGCGTGCAAGCAAGAAGCGAGTTTGGGCTGCCACATCTCCACAGTCGTCGTGTCATCGACTGATTTCAGCTTTTCCCGTCTTCTGCACAAACACGCACAACAGACGTTTGTCGTGGCTGGTTGCGCGCAATGCACACACACACACCACACACACACACACACACACACACACACACACACACACACACACACACACACACACACACACACACACACACACACACACACACACACACACACACACACACACACACACACACACGCTGCATTCGCTGCGACGAAAGGAAAGGATGGATGGGGAGGTGCGTGGTGGTGGTGGTGGTTGGCGGTGGTGGTTTGGTCACACACTCAGCAACAACAACAACAGCAGCAGCAACCACAACAACAACAGCAGCAGGGAGCAGCAGGGGGGATATTGATGATGATGACAATGACACAAGCAATCCATCAATCAATCAATCAAGCAGACGAGCCAGCACACAAGCAAGAAGCAAGCAAGCCAAGGGACATGTATTCATTCACTCCACTTGGACGAGCGACACGTCCACCACGTGGTGCGTGCGTGTGTGTTGTACTCACAGCTCTGCTTCCTTCACACTGTTCCTCCCTGCCTCGCAGTCCTCTCTCCCTTTCTTTCCCTTGCACACCCCTTGCTTTACCTGCTCTCTGCACACCATCTCTTCTCCACTTCTCCCAAGACACTTGATGCACAGGAAGCAGGTCACCAGCATCTTTTTCATTCCCCTTGCCAATGGAGGAAAAGCTGAGTGTCATCTAGCCCGCCGGAAAAGAACCTTATTTTACGAGACAATCGCTGTAATCAAATTCCTACAACGAAAAAACCGAATTTGAGTGATTTACCCGAATTGCGATACATATACACCAAAAGTTCCAAAATTATCTTCCATCACCAAATGTCCATGCCTGGTTATCGGGCCGGGCCGGCGTGGTGTGAAAAATTTTAGGTCCTAGGACACAGGGGTTCCCGTGTGGATGGAGAGCGATTCTTGGCATTTTGTCTCGCGGATTAAAAGGTCCTGCGTTTCTAAAATTC